GGAAACGATATTTCATTTGGTGGTGGAATATAAATCTCCAAGTTCCCACAATGGATTGACCCACTCATTCTCAAGAACTTCCAGACTTCCTTTTACAGCACTCTAATTTAAATAAATCCAAGTGCCTTTATTCCAGGAAACCGTTCTTTGATTGCCAATGCGACAACCGTCGGTGCAAACACAAACACATCATTAGGGAAAAGTGAGCCACAAATCGAAGCTCATTACGGGGAACACTCCGTTACAGCATTGCTTTGCCCTGGTAAAAAAGGAAAACACGTGCCTGTTTTTCTTCAGTTGCTGGGGATAAAAATAAAACCTGGCTCGCCGGCCAATTGGTAAATCTTTGTGGTCTGCAGCCCACAATTATGGAGAGAAAATGAAACGCTCATCTGTCGTCGAAAAAAAGCACCCAGAAACAGGAGAAAAATGGCCCAAGGACTCAAAAAAATGCCAGAAAAAAAAGGAAACTAAAGAGGCAGTGCCGAAATGGGCGAGATGAGGAGGCATAAATAACTATGTCCGCACAAAGTAAACAGAAATAAAAGCGGGGCAAACACAACAAACTCAAATTACACACCGAAATGCTGGCGGATGGGGGAGAAAGTGGGTGGTTTTCCGGAAAAAGTGAGGAAGTTCGTGGGCAACGCCGAAAAGTAGGCAACTAATGTTCGCAAATGTTTGTCTGGGTTTGCTCAGGTTTGCGTTCCATTCCATTCCCAGCCATTTCAACTATGCAGGTGAGGTCTTTCCCTGCCTTTACTTTCCCTTCCAGTGTGTGCTTATGTAATTAATGTTTTCCTACTGGTCCAAGTCCTGCAGGAGCCCCAGGAACAGCAGGATCTGGAAGTGTGAGCCCAAAAAGTTTGCTCCCAACAGGAAATTGTTATTGTTTTGTCGCCTTAGAAAAGCAAAGAGCAAAAAAGTGAAATAAAAGAAGGCCAAAGAATTAGTACCCTATAACAGGAAAATTACTGAATAATGGAACAAAATTAATTAGGGAAATTTTGGATAATTTCGAAATCGGTTTTCGTTAAAATATGTTTTATTGTACCTTAAAACTAAATTAAAGGAATCTAAGCATATGTATTTAATTATCCTGAAGCTTTCATCATAACCCAACAAAAAGTCACATTAATGGGTAGCTTACATGAAAACCGAAAGTGGGAGTAAACTGCGCTGTGTGTGCCATATTCAAGTTGAGCTGACCGCCATCGGGCTATCCCAGCTTGGTCAGGTCGTTGACTTGTCTCCGAGTATTCCCATTTTTGCGTGTGTGGATGGGTAATTAAGATGCTATCACAGGGCGTTGAAATTCGAGACGAAAAAACGATTTCTTGTTAGGCATTCGGCTTTTGTGGCTCAGACAAACCCTAAACCGTAATGTTGTCCCGGAATTTCCCGGAACTCGTTTGCCTTAAAGGTTAAGGCCGATTGCCTATTCCCGACGGCGTGCCATATTTTTCAATAAGCAGAATTGACACCCACTCGACCAGGCACGGGCCATCCCGCCACTTGAGTCCTGGCTGAAGCTGGACGAGGCTCTCTGACAGTTTCCAGGGACAGGGCTAATTTACGCCTTCAATTTGTACTGGCCGAGCACTTGTTATAATTGATGGCCAGTCCGGGACAGTCGTTCACTGAGACAAAAATAAACCCATTTCTGTAAAAGCATTATTATTACAGAGTCAGGCTGAGTATGTAAGGAAACTAATATTTTGCAGCAGTGAAAATATCACTTGATTAGGGAAAGTAATTAGTTTTTAATACATTTCAATTGGTAATTTGCAATACTTACTCCGTATTCTACTAGTATTATTTTCAGTGCAGCCTTAAGGCAGCAGAAGCAGTCGTACGAGAGTAGGGGGAGTCACGCTTACCCGCTGGCTAGTAATTTACTTGTCCTGGCTGGGACGATTTTGCTTTTACCGCCTCTTCCTAGGTGACGCCTAAAAGCAGACTACGACCTGGCAGAGAACACTCCATATATCGTATATGTATATGAGCAGCATATTTCAGGCATTTTTATGGCTCAAGAGTAGAATCATAAATATAGGAATTGCTGAGGGGAAAATGAAGAGAAAAGGGATTCGCAATCCACGGCATGTGGCGTTGTTTACGGAAGAAACTTCCTGACCATGGGGGTGCCTCATCTATTTGGCGCCTGGTTCCCTAATCTCTCCTCTTGCCTATATTCATCATCATCTTTGTCGAAAAAAATGCTACAAAAATGTTGATCGATTTGAGTTTGACTTTTATGCCCGCTGCGTGTTTGTCGTTTTCAAAGAAAACTTCTTCGGAAGGGTTGAATGGCTGGAACACCTTATTGGAAATGAAAAGTATTTCTTCGAAATTTAATGTAGTAATTTAAAGGGCTTCAAATTAGAAGAAAGAAAGAGATTAATGCAACAAATACTAATCAGGTTTAAAAGAAGCGCTTTGCCTAGAACAACTGATTTTAAATGCGATAAAAATCTGCCTTTTTTTAGCTTTTGTTAAGAATTAGAAATGATATAAATTCATAAAATAAGTAAGGTTATATTATAAGTATTAGAATTTATAGTTCTTAACAATAAAAGCATCTGAAGGGTATACAGAAACCGGTTTGCCAGATAGCCCAGCTTACTCAGTATATTTTGTATCCTTCGCCGTTAATACTTTTTCGGAAGCTGACTTAATCATCAATCATTCGGTGTCCGCCACTTCTGCTCCCTGAATGTCCTTATGCCAAAGTATTCTTACCATACAAAGGCTTATCAAATTCGTTTCTGAGCCATTGAAAGTTGCCACGTTCTGGTATTAAATCGAAGGCAAGGATTCGGATGGAAAATGCATTTTGGGCCCAATTACTATAACTATAGAACCAGCTCCTTGGGAATTTACGGTCAAACTCAACGACTTTGGACTTTGCAGCAATTTGCAAATGCCACGTAGTTGGATAAAAAGGGAGTGGCGGGCTATATGAAAATAGTTTTAGTGTGCGAAAATGCCAAACGCTCGAGTGGCCACAAAACAAAAATTGCGGAAAAACTTTCAATTTGCTCGGCCAAGTATCGGAATCGTGGCAATCATCAGGCAGCAACAAAAGGAGAAATCATAAAACATAAACCAGAAGCGAAAGCCACAGCCAAATGGAGCGCACACAAGAGTGGCCGGGGAAGTGGCTGAAACTGCTCGAGAACTTTTCAATTTGGTGGCAAAATTTGTGCAATTTCCTCGGTGGCTGGTGGCTGTATCGGGAAAGAAAGGGTTAAACTTCCTCCACATCCGCCCACCTGAACAATAGCTGCAAGTGTCAGTGGGGAAATTATGAATTGCGTAAAGTTGCTCAACCGCTTTTGTGGCTGGTCTTAACGATATTGTTCATTTGTGAATAAATTCAAATTAAATATGTATTGATTGTTGTAATAGTAGGAATTTAAATCACTAAGCAATTTAATTACTATCTAACAACAAAAGAACAAAGTAGCACAATGAAAATTTCGTATTTCAACGTTCATTTAAATTCGCATCTAATGTTTATTTTATTAGACTCATAGGTGTATAATTTTAGCGTCTGGCACGGTCCACCTGGCTACGCCTTCTTCTAAATGTTTCCCATTTAGGTTTGTATCCAATGCAATATGTATCCAAGTGTGGTATTTGTTTGGCCAACGTCATTATCCCACTGATTGAGGTGCTAATGTATTTATAAAGCGACTTGCTTTTATTTTTAGTCCCGCATGAAAATCGTATCTACCTCAGCTGGACGCCTTTTTATCTGTTCATTTTCATTGCCCGATTTATGAAGTGTGAAGCATTAATTTGATTTCGTATATAGCCTGGTATAAATTAGGTCAGAATATGCACGATTTACTGGGCAATTCTTTGAAGTCCGGCCCCTGGATTCACAAATATATCTATCTATTTGTCTATATGTTTTTCACATCGCCACCTTTGACTTTGAAAATGCACAGATAGCGATCGAAGATGGAGGTAGCTGTTTTCATAATTCAACTGACAGCTGAGTTTTTTCCATCAATATGGCAATAAGTTGTCTGTCTGCCAGCCAGCCCCTCAGTTTCCATCTCGAAGTAAGTGCTTTTCCAGCTCTGCCCTGACCTTAAACTTCAACGGGCTGAGTGTTTGAGTGGTCGAGTGGCATGAGGCAGGGGGATTTTCATCGGTCTGCGATTTCCCATTAAAACTCTCCAAGTTGCCGGACATATGGTTGTATGCATCAGAATGCAGGCGGACTATACATAATCCCCTGCTTTGGATCCTGCTCTGCCTGCTAATGAAGTCCGAGGCCATCAATATGCCACCTATGTACATGACCTTCTCCAAGTGCAAGTAAAATCAAGACTGACATGAAAAACGATTGGAAAACTATCTTTCTGATGCACCGAAAAAAACTATAAATTGAAGTATAATATAATACTTACTACATATGATCGGAATTGCTATATTAAAAACCTAAACATTTACTCAATTTTTTTGCTTTCTCAATTCACAATCTGCGAAAAGTCATTGTCCTATCACTAGTTTTTCCCACTTTCTAACCAAGCCTGCCACTAGAATTTCTTGCTTGTCAGTTCAAGATTTTATGTTGCTTCCTTTACTTTTCCCTTATTTAAGTTTTTGTGCAGCTTTCATTATATGCTGGGACTTTTTCATTGCATTTTCCTTGCAATATTGCAGAGCCACCTTACTTCCCACCCGATTTCCATTGCTTTTGTATCCTGTGGATGCTGAAAATGGTCAGAAATGGGCAAAAATGGTTGCACATTAGACGAAGCATGAAAATAGTTTTTGTTTTTATGTTGACAATTTTCCTGTTGTTTGTCTCCATTTCAAAGGGAGACCCTCTGCCATAACTATTTATATTTTATATATCACACACGACCTGGCAATCAGAGAAATATAAAATCAAGACAAACAAAAGAGGTCCATGTAGGGGTAAACAATCATTTTTGATACCCGTTCAAGGCGAAGGGAGAATATCCTTGGTGGCTTGTGAATTCATTTAAAATATTGTTTATTCGTATTTCAATTTTTAAGCACTTAAATTTCACTTACATTTAGTTTTAGCAAATACGTTTAGCTTCAATCAAGTTACACTTAATATTGAAAAATGGTACACTTATCCTTTTGGTTTTTCTCAATTTTCCTGTATTTCTTGGACAATTAATAAATACACATATCAATAATTTATTATATTTACGGATAAGCCTATGTTTACTTTCAAAAGTACAAATACATTATAAGGGAACGTTGATTTCCCACATTCGCCAACGGTAATTCTGGCTATTGTTTACAATAATCAAGTCAATGATAAATACTAACATTAGTTTACTGTGAGTTTGTTTGAACAGTTTTGTTGTACAACTATTTTGGGTTACGCAAACAATGAAGGAGGAATCTATTGAATTCGTTTTGGTTTGCTATCTTTTCGACACTATTTAATATTTATGGCAACGATTCAAGTGCGTTTTTATTACTTCATTAGCATTCATTGAATTCAATTATGATCATTGGATGCACAATTGAGTTAATACACTCATGTGCTTAAAAAACGCATTGCTTAATGTTAATTTAAATATACACGGTTAATTAAGCTGCGTTTAAGATTATTGTTATGAATCGGTATGCAAATTTTTCTCTTTTGTTCATGTTTTTATCTTTACAATCACATTGCAGTTTAATTCGATTTATAGTTTTTCATTGAATACTTTGTAAGTTTTATTTCCAATGGAATTATTTGCATTCATGGAATCGTTCATGTTTGGTTATTTAAGTTTCAGATCAATGAACCCTGGCAAATAATCATACAATTACTTCTCTTCAAAGTCTTTCCTTGAACATTAAGATTAAATCTTTGGCTTACTCTAGTAACTTTTTCTATTTTTCAACTGCTCCACAACCAGCTACACAAACTTATCCTAACTTTCCAATTTTAAAAGATCTTTAAGCTTAGTCTAGAGGAGTATGTAAATTTCAAAACGTCAATAAAATTATGCACACTTAATAAATCGGAAAACTTATATAAATATTTACCTGATAAGCTTACCAATGCGAAAACGGTAAATATTTGATATTAGTCATTAGTAACCTGGTCTCAAGGCCCTACTTTGTTTGGATTTTAGATTATTACAACTTAAGTACAAATTTAATGAGTCCTTTGGAACTATTAGTTTTAATTTAATTCGTTTTTCAATATAGTGTTAAAAATAACCTACAATATTGTTTATTCAAAATAATTTTATGTTGATTATTTTTCAATTATTTAAACACAAAATAGTGTTAAAAAAGAGGTATAAAACAATTTTATGATAAAAAAAACTACTTACATCTTTTATAGAAAATAAAAATTAAAATTTCATACAACTAGTTTTTATATTGGTAAAATTGCGGCAAAACCAATTTGTTGCTTTCGTTTTTTTAAATATTTCTATTTGGTTGCTGAGATTCCACAATAAAAAGGAAATTCTATTATTTTTTTCCGTTTTCGCATAGCTCTGCCCTAGTGGTAAAAAATATCAATATCATTTCAGTAAATGCTTAACCTACAGTAAGCACTCCGACTGTGTCAACAGCCTGCGATCCACGCCCACGTCGAGGTCTAGTTCCAACTGCCGATCTCATCTGCGGGCGATGAACACCACCGTTTCCAGTGGCATCGAGGGAGCCCGGTCTTATAAGTCTGTATGGAGCACAGGAGGCTTACAGTTGTTGGTTTCCGCGTTGACTACCAGCACAGTGGCCGGACTTCCCACCTGGATCTCGGCAGGCACCTGGTGCACTGCAGGCTGGAGACAAGTCACGGCATCCGTGCCCATCGTGGTGGTCGTAGTCGTGGTCGTTGTAGTGGCTGTCAGAGCATTATTGTTTCTCGCAGCAGCCAAGGCCTTTTTCTTAGCCAACGCCCCTCGTTGGGCGCCACCTTTTCCGCCGCCACCAAGCAGGCGCTCGGATTGCCTGCCCTTGCCGAACTTGGGAAAGAAACTGTTCTCCAGCTGCAGCTGGGCATTCACATCCTTGCGTGCCGCACATGTGCAGGCCTTCATGAAGCTCTTCTTGAAATTGTCGCTGAGGAAAGCGTAGAGGATGGGATTCATGGCCGAGTTGGAGTAGCTGAGGCATCCACAGGCCAAAAAGACGGCTAGTTCCAGCCGAGAGGCACATCGCTGTGGGGATGAGCTGATTAGAGCCACCTAAAAATGAAAATACAAAAATACAATTTTTAATTTCAGTTTTGCATTTTAACATAGTCAAAAAAAAAAAAAAAATTGAAAGGATAAATTCTTCTAATTTAAGGGCACACATTGGTAATACATTTTGTTTGGTTTTTTTACGTTTGACTTTAATGAATTAAAATTATTTACCTGAGAAATCCAGTGTGGAAGCCAGCAAAATATGTACGCACTGATAACCTGTAAAATGATAAAAAAAAATCAATATTTATGAGGTGAATATTTTTTGATAAAATTAAATTATTTAAAATCAAATTAAGATCATTGAAATATTAATCTATTAATATTAACATTAAACCTTTGTCTCAAAATTTTCGTGTAATTCAAATCCCGCGCAAATTTCTTAATAAATAAATAAATATTAATCTCTTTATAAAAATCAACAAAAATGGATTGAATTCCTTAAAGTTATAGTTAAGTTATATTACCTGTGACTAATCGCTATATGGCGCCTTAAATTTGTGTTATGGTTGTATGTGCTCTAATATCGTTATGAAAGTGACTGAGCTAAGCCGAAATAAAGCTTAGGCTGAGATCGATTACAGTTTTAAAAGTGTACTTTTTAGGAACAATGAAAACGGAACAATGGAACTTATGAATAATATTGATATTACTTTTACACTGAATAATGATAATATATAATGATGGTGATGCGGATTAATCGATAATTTAGGAAATTATTTACAAGTTGACAATTGATTTTTAATACAATGTTAGCGTGCACTAACAACCTGCTTTATTAAATAAATGGCAACAGAAATTAATTTGATTAAATTGAAAGTTGAACTGTGTTTTGGTTTTATTACTTTGTAGGCCAACGTTGACTATTGTAATAAATGACGTGTGACCCTGTGGAGCTTTGTAATTTGTGTGACTTTCTATCCTTTGATAAAAGTGTGGCGAATAGATCTATAAAAATTTTGATTAATTTACATAAATTTAGTAATTACCGTGAGCACCAGTTTGGTGACCTTCCTATGTGACCGCTTCTTCTCCTTGGACTTGTGCTTGGGTCCCACGGTGTGCAGCTTCCTGATCACCAGGCAGTAAAACACCAATATGAAGGTCAGTGGAGTGGCGAAGCCCAAAACAAAGGAGTACAGTATAAAGGTGGAGTCAGTGTGGGAGTTCTGGGTGTCCGGCCACTCGATGTTGCACGAGAGATTTCCATTCCTGGACTTGACAGTACTAGCGAACAGGATAACCGGCAGCATCAGCAGTACGGATGTCATCCAGGCGAACGCCGAGACCAGCTTGGACACAAAAGGTGTTCGATAGCGGGGCGAGGATATGGGATGGCAGACGGCTATATATCGATCAGCCGACATGATCAGCAGGAAGATCGATGAGGTGAATGAGGTTATGGAGGTGCTCACCATGTAGGCCTTGCACATGTAGTTGCCGAAGGGCCAGTTGCCCACCTGCATGGTGTATATCAGGAAAGGAATGCCGATCAGGAAGCACTCATCTGCTATGGCCAGGTTCAGGATATATATATTGGTCACCGTTTGCATCTTGGAGAATCGCATCACCACATAGATCACCAGGGTATTTCCGAATAGACCGACAATGCATACCAGAGCGTACAGGATCATCGTAATGAGTTTTAGGATGAAGTTGTAGCTGTACGAGCAGTCCGCATCCACATCCTCATCGTAATCCAAATAGTGGCTTTCATTTTCCTGCATCGGTCGCTGCTTGTGGTTCAGGTGGGGTCGTGCGTTGGACGTCATTGTTCCATTCAGAGTGCCATTTACGGGTCTATATAAGTCGGCAGCCATGGATGGATACGATGAGGATTCCACGGACTCCAGTTGCTGTAGAGTGGTTCCATTTGGCGCCACTGCCAGCTGCTCTGTGGGCGTTATTAAGCTCGTTAGTGTCAGCGCTGTCAGCACAAATAACAGAATGCCAGAGTGGACACTGGCGTTGGTCGCGATGGTGGTGCCTCTGCTGCTGTTTCTGCGGTTTGCAGCTGCCCCATTTGGTGTCGAGTGTCCCTTCATGTTGGCTTCCCTGCTCGATCCTCCTCGCTCTCGCCACCAACCGCCTCCCATTTCGATTCGGTTACTGTAACTGCCTGCTAATTTCCAGTTGGCGGTCGGCTGTCTATTTGACAATGCCTGCTAACCCAGCTAAATGGCAAATATTTTGATATGCTTTCCATACTTTATGGCTGTGACGTCACATGTTACACGGTGCGGTTTCTGCAAAAGAGTGAGAGGGAATGGTATAAAGTAAGATTGATTAGTAACATCCACGGGGTTTCTGTATCGCCATTATTAATTCTGTGGTGTACAGAGAGAGAGAGAAGAGGGAAACTGTCTATATTTTTAAAAACTACATTAAATAACATAAAATATCACTATTAAACGGTATTTTTTGTTAAGTTCTTGATAGATAAAAACTTTAATCAATGTTTGTTCTTGTATTTCTAAATCATTTTTATACTTTTGTCATTTATATAATATTTTCGTCCCGTGTAAGCTTTAGTCCGTTTGCAGCTGGCTCTAACAAGCGCGTATTATTTACTGACAATATTGAGCGCATGCTATCAGCATTTCATGAGACCATCCCCGTCACGCCCCCACATCATAGCCGTCCCTTGGTCCTTCGCATCCTGCATCATCGTGTGAACATTTTCCTGCAGACAATGCAATCAACTATATGAAATTCTGCTCGTTTGCTTGTTTGCCTTCTTCGCACTGCTCGGCGTGCGAAAAAAATGATTCGCTATCTGGCGGGTGAAAAATGAAAGGCGAATGAAAAATAAAGGAAAAGCCGGCGAGAGAACGAAGGCAGTACAACAAAAATACATGACAGCAACGCCAACGACTACAAGCAATTAACTTTCCCATAACGCGAGGCCAAAGGAGAGAAACGTAATTCATATAAACTCAATTTATCGTTTGTGCCAAGACCAGAAATATAATTAAGTAGAATTTGAAATGAGAGGACAGTTTGGGACCGCAGTATTGAGTAATGTCTGAAAAGTTCAAAGAACTATCAATCAAAAATGGTATCGCAATGCAGGCAAGGATACTCGTATGTATTTTTCTTACAATAATCTATTATTAAGTACTGTTAGAAATTTTATTTTGACACTGGCAAATCATGCAAGTTTTTTAATAAATCAAATGAAAGTGCCATCTGCCAGATGGTGGTCAAATATTTTTGACATCAGCTTAATTCAAATCTTATATTTAAAATATTAAAAATACCAATTAAGTTCGGACATTTTTGAATAACCAAGTTACTTTCTTAATAAATCTCTTCCATAATGCAATTGGAAAACGTTTTGTATTTGAGTTTCAACCGCAAACTTTCTTCCACAATTAATAAGCAATTTGTTTTGAGGTTTCTTAAGATCCCCAGGCTATGTTAAAAATGAATAAGCACAAGCATTGGAGTAAGACGTCGTCCATATGGCGTGGAACACGAAAACTTTGGTCCCGAAGAAAGCCACTAAACATATATACACTGAGGAAGGAGCCCCATGAAGGTCGCAAACTTCTCGGTCAGTAGCCAGGCGAAAACTTTCGCAGACATCGACCAAAAACAGGCCAATAAGAAGTGAAGTCAAGTTTTTCGCTGGCCGAAAAACCGACAGCACAACAAACCAAGGCCAAGTGAAAGGAAATAGCCACAGGGGCAAAAGTTCTCCTCCAACCATTAAATGGAAAACCGAGGCAGATAGAATTTCCGTTGATTAATTAATTGGCGTAATCCTAGTTGGATAAACTGCGTGAATTGCCAAGGAATTTATGAGAGCATCTCTTTCCGGTATTAAGTGGGTCAACAGCAGCTGGGCCTAACGACTTTGCGACCCGACCGGGTTAAACTTTAACCCCGTACATTAAGCCGCGCAATTAGCTTGGATGCAGCTGATTTTGATGCCAGCCACATCATAATTGCTACACTGAGAGATATAATTTTTAAATCTCTTTCTAATTCCATTTAAATAACAAATGAAAATAGAAATTTGATACAGTTATTAATCTTGAAATCAGTATAAACCAAATTAATTGTCTTCACAAATTCGAAATCCAAATATATTAAATAAACATCTTCCAAGTTGGAAGTTGTCCAAGTCACCAATATGGCCACAAATACCATGGAATAGAATAGAATATATTTAATTGTTTGCATTCTTAAAGCAATATGTATATTATTTATGTTTCCCACAGTCGAAATTGCAATCTTAAGTGGTGTTAATATGAAATATATTTCCTTTTATGTTTCTATTTGGACAAGTCGTATAGTCCTTTTATAGCCCAAAATATCTTGCTGAACATGAACAAGAAATGAACAACGGAGTACAAACTAACGATGAATGATTAATCCCGGAGTCTCTTTCTGGTGAACACTCTTGTTCGCTCCACACCTTGATTAGCCTGACGGATATACCGATAATTATACCATGGTCAAAAGGAAGAGTGAGGCAACTCAGAGATGTCCTGTTCCGTTGTCCGGACCTGTTCGCTCGTCAGTCAGCTTCTGGTTGGGACAAACAAGGTTAGCAATCAATTGCTAAACATGTTGCCATTGACGATGATGGCACCATGCCTAACAAAGACCGGCCCCCGCTTTCCACACCCGCACACAAAGGCCATAAAACGCTTGACTACCGATTGATCTGGCCAGTGGAGCAGAAGATATGTGTTTTCGGCTATTCTCTCCTTGCGGGTTGAGTTTTCGAACCAGACCAGACCCAGCCAGGCCAACAAGGATGGTAAGGGTAGCGAAGGCTGCGTTATGGCCAAGTGACTGATGAAACTATAATTGGCAGCAAGGGCCGCTGGTCTTGTGTGCGGTCCTAATGAGGCTATATCACATGGCCATCTTTCGGTATATTAGGTGCAATGGTACTGCAATTTGTCGCATTGACCAGGTGAAATTATAAATTTAGCCAACCAGACTGTGAAGAAGCCAAAATCAAGGACTAATTAGAGGTTTTGAAGGAAAATAAGAGCCACTTATGAATATAATTTGGTATATTATAAAACTAAAATTTCTTCATTTTAGCAGGTTGATTTTGTTAGATATTTATCAACATTTATGTATAAGGTTTGATAAGAAACAACAGGGATAAATTCTAAGATAGTAAAGAAAAACAAATTTTTAATTAAGCACAGTACCAAAAATCTTAAAATTAATATGTAACAAGAGCTTCTACTATTTAAGACCCTTGAGAAAATTTATAACACACCTATTGAGCTAACCGAAATTGAAATTTAATAGCTTAATTTCAAACCACGTTTGAAGGCCAATCGAAGGACTTAACCTTGAAAGTTGAACTGAGGTTAATCTCACGGCTAGATCTAGTCAATTTACTTTCTTATTCAAATTTGATGCTGCCAAGCAAAAACTTTGTTATATTTAAAGGGAAAACTGAATTGAAGAACCTAACGAAATTTAATGGAATTTCTTTTTTCGTGTGAAAAATAACTTTCGTTTTCAGCGCCTTTGTTCCACCTGAGCACGGTGGGCAAACTTTTAGCTGTTATCTTTCTCACTCATTGGCCAAAGTCATTGTCATGCATAGAGTTTCCCTCCTGATCCTGTTCCCTATTACTGTCCTCCGTATCTTTCTGCCCGGCTTTGTTCCTCTGGTCGTCTCTGGCATAAATTTTCACTTCCTCCGTGAAGTGCATGGATAAATTCCACTTAGCAGCTCTCTTCCCTTAAAGCTTTTCAACTTTTCTTCTTGTTTTCCAAGCTTCAATGCCTAATTTCATGACTCTATGCCAGAAAAAGCAACGCATATGCCCTTTTGATTTTGGAGTGTGGAAGCACTTTGCTTAATTAAAAATTACATTCGATCTGTTGTGCAACTCTTGAACCGCAAATAAACGGCAAATCGGCTTATGTCAACCAAGTTAATTGGTAAATGCACAAAAATAGCTCACCTTTCCGCCATCATCCATCATCCCGAGTGGTTTGGGAGGGCTCTCAAATCATATATCCATTTGCAATTGGGTGAATTAGGCCGATTGGCGTACTAATGCCTCCATCGGGATTGAATTTCACGGCTGACTGTGATTAGCTGCATCCAATCAAGAAGCGGAATTAAAATCAAAATGACTTTATAAATGCTGCATGAGGGTAATTTGATATCGGCTTAATTAGCTTTTTGCTAACTGAGCCCCGATTTCAATTGGATTAGCCACTCAAACTTTTGATGTATTAATTAGTATAATGACTTTTTCTCTGGCTTCGATGGGTAGGCTATTCAGTTCGTAATGAACTATGTCGTAAGCGGATGCATTCTAAATATGGTAAGCTGATTTGATAATCACACAATCAAAAGTATATATTCAAACCATATAGCCAACTTGCCATCAACCATTTATATAACATTTTGTCAATCATTTGTATAAATATTTCACATGAAACTGGTAGTAATTTAGGAATGAGCCACCTTTTACAATACCAAACATATTTCTGTTATGAGGGTCTCATAAAATGACTTACAATGCCAATTTCCTGAGCTGCCGCAAATTTCTCTCACACATTATTGCCCCATTGTCCCATCCTAAGCTGGCAACAAAAGATTTGCACCTAACTGACGCCTGGCCAAATATGTTGCCATAATTTATGTATTTACACTTTGGCCTGGGTTCGACTTGATTCCAGGTAAAGTGTATGTTCCTCCGTACATGCTCATCCGTGCGGCTGCGGAGAGCTCACGTTCTCACCTGGATTCCGGATTCTGGATTCCGGGTGCTACGTCATTGTCGTTTGGCCAGGTCATGATTTATAAATAATTAAATATTTATTTTCGCACATCGTAAATGACGTTGGCAGCCATCGATGAGTTGGCGGTTGGGGTTGGGGATGGAAAGTTTGCTCTGGCGTTTGGCGTTTGGCCCCAGCCATATACTCATTAATATTAATAAGGCGATGTTGGCGAAGGGCAGGTGGCCCCCATCTCCCTACCTTGAATTTTCCTAATATTCCCCCAATGGAGCCTCCCACCTCAACAGGTGTCGTGCCACACGTGTCGCCATCGCCCGACGGCCTTGCCCTTGTGGGCCCGTAATCAAGTCAAGTGCCATCGACTCGGCCGCAGAAAGTTTCAGTTATAAACGCGGCCTCCGGGCGGGGCTTTTTCGTTTGGGCCACAAAACCTCGGCTCGAATCCAATTTCCATTATCCAATTTAACGCCGACATGCGCGCATAAATAAGCCTCAGTGGATAGACCAA